TCTTCTTGCTTTCTGAGGGTGCCCGACTCTGGAAAAGAGGAGCTTCTAATAAGCTTGCTTCTTTCACTGCATTTTGTGACTCGCCTTGACTTCTTTCCACACAAGATCCAAGAACCTTCTCTTACAGTCTGGATTGAAACCCCCTTTTCCTGGTAACAACTTTATTACTGAAGTTTTCCCTTTTGTCCCTGTCCGAAGTGACTTTCTGTCCTCTGAGCTCCTATAGCACTTTATTTACACATTTCACAAAACATTGATAACAGAGTCACGTGATGAGTTTCCTGCAGTCTGAGACGTTGTCTTGAGGTTTTTCAGTCCCTTACAGCGTTGTATACAGTGTCCTACATGCTGTGGGCTCTCAGAGAGGTCTGCTGAAGAGTGAGTTACTCTGGGAAGCCTTTCTGTACCTGCCAAACCCACTCACAACGAGAGAGATCCTAATTAATTTCGGCACAGAGATAACTTTCCCTAACCCAAGTATCCTGCCATTTTCCTCTCTAGTGTATCAGTTCTCTTTTGTTTCAACCATGAGCCCTCTGCCACCTGTCTGTAAAACATTCTGCAGGGCTGGGTGCAGTGGCTCACGCCTGTAATCCCAACACTTTAGGAGGCTGGGATAGGAGGATCACCTGAGGTCAGGAGTTTGAGACCAGCCTGACCAACATGGAGAAACCCCATCTCTACTAAAAATACAAAATTACCTGAGCATGGTGGCACATGCCTGTAATCCCAGCTACTCAGGAGGCTGAGGCAGGAGAATCGCTTGAACCCAGGAGGCAGAGGTTGTGGTGAGCTGAGTTCGTGCCATTGCACTCCAGCCTGGGCAACAAGAGCAAAATTCTGTCTCAAAAAAAAAAGAAATTTGCAACTGGGAAGGACTCTGGTCCTGGATGATCCCATAATATATAAAAAGATGCAAATCATGATAAACAGGAGTCATAAAACAAACAAGGGTGGTTTCATTCTTTGGACTCTGAAATGGAAATTAGACATCAAGGTCCAGGTCAAGTTCCCCTTCAGGCCTTCTCACCCTTTGTCTCCACTTTTTTTTAAATTTTATTTTATTGCATTTTAGGTTTGGGGATACATGTGAAGAACATGCAAGATAGTTGCATAGGTACACACATGGCAGTGTGATTTGCTGCCTTCCCCCCCTTCACCTATATCTGGCATTTCTCCCCATGCTATCTCTCCCCAACTCCCCACCCCCTACTGTCCCTCCCCTATTCCCCCCAACTCACCCCAGTGTGTGATGCTCCCTTCCCTGTGTCCATGTGTTGTCATTGTTCAACACCCGCCTATGAGTGAGAACATGCAGTGTTTGATTTTCTGCTCTTGTGTCAGTTTGCTGAGAATGATGGTTTCCAGGTTCATCCATGTCCCTACAAAGGACATGAACTCATCGTTTTTGATGGCTGCGTAATATTCCATGGTTGTATATGTGCCACATTTTCCCTATCCAGTCTATCATTGATGTGCATTTGGGTTGGTTCCAGGTCTTTGCTATTGTAAACAGTGCTGCAGTGAACATTCGTGTGCACGTGTCCTTATAGCAGAACAATTTATAATCCTTTGGATATATACACAGTAATGGGATTGCTGGGTCAAATGGGATTTCTGTTTCTAGGTCATTGAGGAATCGCCACACTGTCTTCCACAATGGTTGAACTAATTTACACTCCCACCAACAGTGTAAAAGTGTCCACTTTTTGTGGAAAGGAACAAGGGGAGGAGCAGCAAGTAGTGTGAGCAAAAACCAGAAGAAAGGGGAGCGACTGGCCAGACAGCCACTCTTTCCCAGAAGACAAACAGCATTCCAGGAAAGGAAAGCAGTCCCCAGGTCCCCAGCGATTGTATAAGGAGCCTACAGTAGAGCAGAGAAATCCAAAACAGTTGCCCCTGTTTGCTCTCCTCGCCTCCGCCTGTGAGACAGGGGTGCTGACCCTCCCTGCTTCTCGCCACATGGTCGGGCGGCGGGGGCGGTGGGGGGGGCGGTGCTCCCAGAGCTGCCTTCGGTGTGATTTGGAAAAGGCTGCAAATGCAAGATGAAAATCCTCCATTTAACTTAGCATTTGACTGCATCCTTGGGGGATTAAGTAAAACTAGACATTGAACTTAAAGCAAATATAAGGAGAATGGGGACAGGGGACACTTCCGCCTATTCTCTGTGTCCCTGTTCGCCCTCTTCCCTGCTGCTCCCACAGAAGAAGAAGGACTTGTTAAACTGAGGGGTCATTTTCCTGAAATGCAACTGGGCCGAAGAGGGAGTTCAAGTTCGACTTCTTAAAACCCAGGTTGATAAAGGCAGGAATGAAAAGCTGGGGTTCCCCTCTCCGTCAGGGACCCCCTTCTCACTGCAGGAGTGGAAAGCCTTCACCTCTACTGTCTTAGGGTCCTGGCTGGGTCCAAGAGTTCAACTGACAAAACACAGATTGGCATGAGAAAAGCATGGAAACGTATTCATAAATGTCTTACACGGCATAAGAACTCTCATAAAGAAATGAAGACCCAAAGAATCAGTGAGGGTCACTTACTTATACATTGGATTGAACAAAGAATAGTAAACTATGAAAATGTGACTAAATTATGTGGGGAAGCTTAAAAGATAAGAGTTTCTAACAAGATCTGTTCAATATTCTATTTCAGCTTCTCATCGAAGATAAGGACATTACCTTTCCTTCTAGTACCAAGAGTGTCCTTCACATGGGAATTCCATCTTCTGCTCTTAAACAGCACAAAGGTCAAAGTGATCTTCTTGTACCTGCTGTGTTTCAGGTGCTTTTAACTTAAATAGTCAATATGCCAGAATGGCATTTTAAAAAATTTTAAGTTCTGGGATCCATATGCAGTACGTGCAGGTTTGTTACCTAGGTATACATGTGCCGTGGTGGTCTGCTACACCTATCAACCCGTCACCTAGGTTTTAAGCCCAACATGCATTAGGTATTTGTCCCAATGTTTTCTGTCCCCTGGCCCCGCACCCCTGGACAGGCCCCGGTGTATGATGTTCCCCTCCCTGTGTCCATGAGTTCTCATGGTTCAATTCCCACTTATGAGTGAGAACATGTGGTGTTTGGTTTTCTGTTCCTGTGTTAGTTCACTGAGGATGATGGCTTCCAGCTTCATCCATGTCCCTGCAAAGGACAGGAACTCCTTCTTTTTTATGGCTGCATAGTATCTTTAACCCCTTCATCACCCTACAACAAATACCATTTGGAAGGAATCATTATCAAAACTGGAAACTCCACCAACATTACTTTGAAAACCAGCCATGAGCTGGGCACTGTGCTCGGGCTGGAGATTTTTAAAAAGAGGAGAAAAGCAAAGCACCCCCTTAAGAAGTTCACAGTCTAATGGGAGAGGCAGAAATAATCTCCACAGACAAATAATTTGCATAGACAAAGGCAAAGCTCGGGGTTTGGTGGAAATTGAAAGAAGTCTCTTTGAAAGCAGAACTGGGGTGAGGGAAGGTTTCATCAAAGAGGTGAAGTCAGAGCTGAGGGCTGATGAATGTATAGGAATCAGGCCTAGAAGAGGGTAGAGGTGTCCCACAGAGAAACACCTGAGCAAAGCCACGAGACAGGTGTGCTCTCTCCCTCATAGCAACAAAGGAGTCCCCACATTCTCAAAGCCACATTAGCGCATGTCATATGGTGGTGGCAGGGAGGGGACAGGGGGAAATTGGTGAAATATATTTAAATTCTACTTTTGAAGAAATGCATTAAAAATAAATCCAAAACCCTCTCTGAGGAAATAAGATGGATGAAAAAAAAAGGTGTAAAAGAAAAAACTTATTTTTCAAGTGGGTTTGGCTAAAGCAATCAACTTCCTAATCCCACACGTGGTTATCAGACTCCAGGTGGCCTGCCAGCCACAGAGCTGCTGTTTGCCTCTAAATCGTTAAGGCAGATGGAAAGTTAACACAATACCCGACGCCTGGCCACTGTGTACATTCTAAACCACGCCATAGTCAAGGAGGGGCACGCAAACCCATGCAGGAAAAGCCTTTCCCAACCGAGTCTTCTCCGCTAGAGAGTGGACGCAGCACTGCCTGAGGACGGGGTTTGGACCCCGCTCTGTCCCTGTCTGTGAAATGTGGTGACCAGTGTGGATTCTGCCCACAGTCTGTCCCGTTGAAGACCTGGGCGTGCACTGACTTAAACGGCATAAAGAGGTGAGGCTGGAGGGGTGGAAGGAGCAGATGCTGGAAAGCATTTCTAGCACGGGCTCGGCTACCAGCACAGCTTTGTCCCCTGGCCTTGCAGAGTCCTTGCTCTGTGCTTTAGTTTCTCCATCTGACAATGACAGTGACAAAATCTGCCCCTGATTTTCTTACTGAGGAGAGATAAATGATTCCCGACACAATTGGGGATCCTTAAACAAGGGTCATGTGTGCTAGACAACACAACCCAGGAATCCAGAATAACCTAAAGCAGCAGCCTACAGGCTGGCCGTGGTGGCTCAGGCCTGTAATCCTAACACTTTGGGAGGCCGAGACAGGCGGATCACTTGAGGTCAGGAGTTTGAGGCCAGCCTGGCCAACATGGTGAAACCCCACCTCTACTAAACAAAAACAAAAACAAAATTTAGCTGGAAATCGCTTGAACCCAGGAGGCGAAGGTCGCAGTGAGCCAAGACCGTGCCACTGCACTCCAGCCTGGGCAACAGAGCAAGACTCCATCTCAAAAATAAAAAATGAAAAGCAATAGCGAAGGAAAGAGGCAGCACAGCTGCCCCATCAGCTTTCCCTCCACGCGGCAGTGTTGATTCTGTCCCTCCTGTGTGCACGACATAGTCAAAACTGAGACTGTTTTTCATTGTTTTCCAGGCCCTTCCCACCTTCCTTGTTCGTGACTGACAGGTGACAGAAGCCAGCTGAGTTATCATACACACCAGGGCAAGCTGTGCGCACGGAAGTCTGTCTCAACCCAGCCCCACCGCATGGGACTGTGGAACACAGCCAGTGCCTAAGGCAGCGGCGAACACTGCACTCAGCTCACCTGGGGATGCTGGTCAGGTAGGTCATGACATTCAGGAAGTCTTCATCTGGGATGTGTTTGAACCCCAAAAACTCTGGGAACGTGATGATGGGGGCGCCATCCTCCCCTCGGCCTCCTGCAACAAAAACAGGTGGTCAAGATGTTAGCAAAATGTTGTCGTGTCTCACCTCTGCAGGGAAGTTGGGTGAAAGTTGGGTCACCTCTTTTCCTACCTATATTATCGGAGACCAGAATTTGGGAGAAGTTAATCGAGTTATTTTGAGCAAGTCTCTCTTCTCATTCGTGCTGGCTCTGGGGCATTCTAAGAATTCAATCTTTGAATCCTTTGAAGACAGTTACTGTGTAAAAGGTAACACTGATTTAATTATTTCGCATGGGAAGAATAGTAAATAATGCCAACACAAACATGGAATATTGCTCTTGATTTCTGCAGTCAGTAAATGTCAAAAGTAATACTGCATGGTGGTGAAGAGAGTTAACGCTCAGATCGAACAGCTGGGTTCAAAGCCACTTTGCTACTTAATTGCTATGTGATTTTGGGCAAGATAGTTAATGTGTTTCTTTCATATATATGAAAGATTTCCTACCACTGTATTATACAGGAATACATATATGTGAGGACTAAGTGATGGGACAGATGAGAAGCACCTTAGCAGAGTGCTTACCATACAAAACTGCTCAGAATGGTGACCATGATTACAATAATTATTATGACAAGGAAGCAATCATCAGCTTCCCTTCAAGAATTCATAAATAGCAATTTAAGATATCCCTGTGAACATAAAAATATAAAAAGTAACATTGAATTCGGAGCAGAGGCCACCGCATGCCATAGGTTCTACTTCCCAGTCCTCTGGCACACATGCAGGCATCTGACTAAGTTCCAGCCCCACAGTCCCCATACTGTGCCACAGGCACCCCGGGAACTCCTGTAAACTCATGGGAGCACTGGGAGTATTTTAAATTTTTGAGGGAAATACAGTGATTGTTGACCTCTGTCAGACACCGTATGTACTACTATACTGGCTTGAGGTAATTCCCAATTTCTTTTCTTTTCTTTTTTTTTTTTTTTTGAGACAGAGTCTCACTCTGTTGCCCAGGTTAGAGTACAGTGACCCAATCTCAGCTCGCTGCAACCTCTGCCTCCCAGGTTCGAGCAATTCTCCTGCCTCAGCCTCCCAAGCAGCTGGGACTACAGGCATGCACCACACCCAGTTAATTTTTGTATTTTTAGTAGACACAGGTTTTCACCATGTTGGCCAGGCTGGTCTTGAACTCCCAACCTTAGATGACCCACCCGCCTCAACCTCCCAAAGTGCTGGGATTACAGGTGTGAGCCACCATGGTGCTGCATCTTTATAGAGCTGGGGGTTTGGTGTTTGCTGAAATAAAAAGCAAAAACAGCATGAAAATCAACGTGGAACAAGACATAAAGGTGGTGATATCTAGTCTGATTGCAAGATTTAAGATAGTTGTAGTTATTTGAGAACAAAATTGAGAGAAAAAATAATATTTTAATGTGTATATATATATTTTTTCAAACAGCTACTAAGTTGTTTGAACATAGTTGCAAGTTAAGTTGTGTGAAATGTTAGTTATTGCTTTTGGCCTAAGGTGGCCATGAAGACAAGAATGAGCTACTAAGGCACAGAGAATTGGGAGGGTTTAGGAAACTATGCCTTATAGCCAATGGTATAGGAACTTCGGCTGCATGCACCTATCAAGTCTTCGAAGAGAAACCACTTTAAGAATAATGGGCCTCAAGACAAGGCCAGCTACAAATGACTGAATGCATTTAACATATCTAAGAAACACATATCAGTGTGGGGTGTGATTAGTGAGGACTGTGTGATGAATGAGGATGTGTGGTCAACGAAGAAACTACAGAAGAGGAGAAGCAGAGGCGGGCAGTGTACAGCCAATGCTGTCGCTATCCTCAGGGGAGAGGGCCAGCCCATCCTGAGAATCCAATCCACGTCGCCAGTCTATCTGATGACACCACCGGAAGATCAGCCAGCCAGCTCTCTTGTGCTGCCTCCAAGCCTGGTAAGAATCTTCTGTTTAGAATTTGATTTGCCTTGTAAATTTATTTCAGGAAAAGGAATGTGTTATTGAGCAACCAGAAGTGTATTATGTAAAGAAGAAGTCAGCACCATCGGTTTTCTGCACAAGTCTCTTGTGAGTTGCTAATATGGGTCTTAGGTGCTCAGAGACCAGCTACTGTGGGATGAAACCGTGCGAGATTTGTCTGGATGGTCAGTCATCCCTCCCCAGGAGGCACCTCTTTATTCATCCTGTAGGTTTACTCTAAACTTCCAAAAATGATACCCACAGATTAGATATTTATCAAGACAGGTATATTGAGCTATCTCATTACACTGACTGATGAGGATATTAAAAGCTTTTGTCTAATAATATTCTTCCTCTCTGCAGTTTCACAACCATGGGAAGTTTCAGAGAAATGTGAATTCAGGTAATTTGTGTCTTTAAGAAAGCTAAGGGGGTAGAGGAGTTGAAAAAAAGAAAAAAAAAGAAAGCTAAATTTAGATGCATTATGACACTATAATAATTGTGTAATCAACATCTGCTGAGGGAGTGGCTAAGACATTTCAAGGAACTGAAACAGCCTAAAATATTAATTAGAATGTAATTATGCCATTTAATTTTACCTTTTATTATTATTATTTTGAGGCGGAGTTTCACTCTGTTGCCCAAGCTGGAGTAAAGTGGTGTGATCTGGGCTCACTGCAACCTCCGCCTCCTGGGTTCAAGTGATTCTCTACCTCAGCCTCCTGAGTAACTGGGATTATAGGCACACGCCACCATGCCAGGCTAATTTTTGTATTTTTAGTAGAGATGGAGTTTCACCGTCTTGGCCAGGCTGGTCTCAAACTCCTGACCTCAAGTGATCTGCCCACCTTTGTCTCCCAAAGTGCTGGAATTACAGGTGTGAGGCTTATTTTTTATGAGATGGAGTCTTGCTTTGTCTCCCAGGCTAAGGCACAGTGGTACGATCTCCATTCACTGCAACCTCCGCCTCCTGGGTTCAAGCGATTCTCCTGCCTCAGCCTCCTGAGTAGCTGGTATTACAGACACACGCCACCACGCCAGGCTAATTTTTGTATTTTTAGTAGAGACAAGGTTTCACCATGTTGGCCAGGCTGGTCTTGAACTCCTGACCTCAAGTGATTTGTCCATCTTGGCCTCCCAAAGTGCTGGGATTACAGGTGTGAGCCACTGTGCCCGGCCAATTTGACCTTTTTATAGTTGAATATATTAAAGCTATCCCCACCTAAATGAAAAAAACTGAAGTTTTCTTCTATCTTGGCTTCTATCAATACTGAACAGCAGAGAGGCCCTAAGGTTAACTGTGGACGCCCACCCACTGTTGAATATTAGTCTTAAGAGGCAGAAGCATCAAGGAAACAGAGCTGGACTTACAGCTATGGAGCAACCCACACCATGGCATCTAGTGCCACCTTCTGAAGAAACATGGTAATGCAATGGAAAAAAAGAATGATTATTCCGAAGTCCCATTCAAGGAATACAAAAAACCCCAACTATTTGGTACTAAGTAAAATGGTAACTTAAATAAAATAAACTTTAATCCTCCTAGTATGATTCTGTACTTTTTCATTAAGTGAAAGACAACTAGTTTTAGTGCAGAAAACATTAAGTCCTTGGGGTACGTAGGTGATTGCTGAAAGGGCCCTGGTGAGAGCTGGCAGGAAGGCTTCATACAAAGGTGAACTGAGAATACGGGAAATCCCATAGGAAGATGGCAAAGACCAGTGATGGGGAAGGGTGCGGAGCATCTTCCTGCTGCTCTTTGCCTCCCAGTACCTATTTCCCTGTCTCCTCCCCACAAGGTTTTAACTGGGGAAATGGCAGAACCATTACCTGGGAGGCACTTTGGAAGTCTCAGAGCCTGGGATACTAAATGACCCATTCTACGTGACAAAACTAAGAATCGCCCCCGTATGCTACGGGACTTCCAAATGTCTTACCAGAGGCTTAATTGAACTGAAAAATCCATTTTTTAAATGCTTTGGGCTGGGCTCCGTGGCTCAAGCCTGTAATCCCAACACTTTGGGAGCCTGAGGCAGGTGGATCACCTGAAGTCAGGAGTTCAAGACCAGCCTGGTCAACATGGTGAAACTCCTTCTCTATTGAAAATACGAAAATTAGCCAGGTGTGGCTGCAGGTGCATCTGAGGCAGGAGAATTGCCTGAACCCAGGATGCGGAAGTTGCAGTGAGCCAAGATCACGCCATTGCATTCCAGTCTGGGGGACAAGAGTGAGACTTCATCTAAAAAAAAAAATTGAATAAAATGCTTTGAACCTAGACTTTAACTCTGTTTTCACAAATCATCATAAAGAAATTGTTAAGTCTTATTTAAGTCACTGAAGGTATCTGATCACCCCACCACACCCCAGCATTGGCACCCATCACATTCATAGGTGACTCCAAACTGAGGGGCAAGCACCTCTTTCATTATTTTCATGTAGCTAGAAATGCTTGTGGAAATACATATTATTGGAAGATATATTACTTTAATTAGTTTCCTTTGATTTCTCCTTTACATTACAGTTCCTTATATTTTATTTGAAAAAAAAATTTTTGAGATAGAGTCTCGTTCGGTCACCAGGCTGGAGTACAGTGGCATGATCTTGGGTCACTGCAACCTCCGCCCCCCACAGGTTCAAGTGATTCTCCTGCCTAAACCTCCTGAGAAGCTGGGATTACAGGTGCTCACCATCACACCCAGTTGTTTTATATTTTTAGTAGAGATGGGATTTCACCATGTTGGCCAAGATGGTCCCGATCTCTTGACCTCATGATCTGCCTGCCTTAGCCTCCCAAAGTGCTGGGATTACAGGCTTAAGCCACTGCGCCCAGCCTATTTTTTAATTTTTAAAAATATGTGCATAGGTAGGGGTGGCTGTTCACCTAGGTTTTCTCTTCCTGGGCACACAGCTACACTACATTTCCCAGCTTCCCTTGCCATTAAGTGTGTTAAAATGACTGTGACAAGTTCAAGTCAATGGAATGTGCTATATGCTATCTCTGGGCTGAGAATTTTAAGAAGCACTATGATCCTTCCATGTTCTCTT